GAATATATAATTCATGTGGTAATATTATTATTCACTAATATATAATATTAATTTAATAATAATATTTTAACAGTTAAAAACTAGAATATTAAAAAAAAAAAAGAAAAATTACAAAAATAAAAAAAAAGTAGAAATTACATTAGGATAAAATGACAAATACGTAATACATGTGTCAATACTATTATTACTTATTTACTAGTATATATATAATATTAACTTAATAATAACATTTTACCTGTTAAATAAAAGGATATTAAATTCCAAAAATAATTAAAGAAATAAATCATAAAATAATAAAAAGATTGACATAAGCGATATTTGAAACATCAAAAGAAAAGGGAAAAAAATGACTTAGAGATTTTCTGAGATTTTCTGAGATTTTCTGAGATTTTCTCATAAAAAAAAAATAAAATAAAATAAAATAAAATAAAAAATAGAATGAAAAAAAGTGGATAAAATAAAAAGCAAAGTTGACTGATTTTGATAGAAGTCCGAGAGTGCTGGTTGGATCGTGAAAAGAATCGAGATTTCTTTTCTCTTAGAACGAATCGAATAAACGTGAGCTGCGAGTGTCCGGAAACTGGTTACGAGTGGTCTTCGAGGTTCGGTCTATGCGTCGACGTAAACGAGTGCACCCGTGGGATGCACAATTGCACGTACGAGGACGGCGAGAGCTGCATTAATCTGCCCGGTCATTTCGACTGCATCTGCCGTTACGGTTACGTGTACAGCTTGAACAAGGGCCGATGCGTTCTGAGCATACCGATCAAAAATGCATTAAGAGGAGTTCAAACGATCGAACCGAATGTCACGAAGATGAGTTTTCTCGATAGGATCGTTTACGTCATTGGTCCACCACCACCACTACAACCATCTGCCTCCTCTTCCTCCTCATCCTCCTGTAACTTTTCTATCCCCACTTTTGTGATTTCTAACCTACCATTTAATACCATCGTTTCTTTATCGTTTACTTTTACGATGCTTCATGAGTACTTTACTGTTCTTTCTTCTTTTTCTTCTTCTTCTTCTTCTTCTTCTTCTTCGTTTTTTATCGATTACGTTGAGATCTGAAAAAAAAAAGTATGATCGTGTTATTATAACACTTAAATCTATCGATGCGCAAAACGTTAAAACGTTATTTCTTTGTACTGTTGTTTTTAGTATTGAATATGGATGATAATTTGTTTGACACTAATATCAAATAATAGATAATAATTATCTTATGCCTATGTTATTTTTCTTATCGATTACATAAAAATCTGAATAATGTGATCGTGATATTATTAACATCTAAATCTACCGATGTGTAATTATATTGTTCGAATGTTAGCAAAAAAAAAAAAAAGAAATATGTTATATTATTTAAAATATTTGTAATCATGGTACACGATACACGTATGTATATATAGTATAGTTTTTTTTTTTTTTTTTTTATAAAATTTCTTTCTCAGTAACCTCGAGCGTTGTATCCTATTATTTTTCAACGTATATCGGAGGTAAAACGTTGAAAGGTAATCTCCATATAGAAAAAGTTGGATATCAAGATTTTTGCTATAATAACTAATAAATAAACTATCGAGAGAATATGAAACATCATGACTATGCATGCTACACGTGTTTCATATTTTTCTTTTTCAAGTGAAAACTTCTTTAGACTGAAGCGTGATACTTGATACGGGGGTGATATTTTTCGAATAAAAAAATCTACCGTTAAATATAATAATAATTATTGATATTATACAAAATTTAATTATATTCTACATCTAATTAATATTAATTACAATATTTTGTATTAAATTATTGTACAAATAAATTTGCCTTTATTTTTTCCAATAAAAAAAATCTATCATTACATATAATAATTCTAAGTAAAGTTAATTATATTGTATAAATAATTAGTAATTAAATTTTATTATTAAATTAGAAATAAATTGTTTTTTTATTTTTCTAATAAAAATATCTATCGTTACATATAATAATAATAATAATTATAAACAAAACTAATTATATTATACACATATATAATTAATATTAATTACGAAACTTTGTAATTAAATTAGAAATAAATTTATTTTATTATTCCAATAAAAAAAATCTATCATTACATATAATAATTATAAACAAAGTTAATTATATTGTATAAATAATTAGTAATTCAATTTTATTATTAAATTAGAAATAAATTGTTTTTTATTTTTCTAATAAAAATATCTATCGTTACATATAATAATAATAATAATTATAAACAAAACTAATTATATTATACTCATATATAATTAATATTAATTACGAAACTTTGTATTAAATTACAAATAAATTTGCCTTTATTTTTCCGATAAAAAAAATCTATCATTACATATAATAATTCTAAGTAAAGTTAATTATATTGTATAAATAATTAGTAATTAAATTTTATTATTAAATTACAAAGAAATTTTTTTTTTATTTTTCTAATAAAAATATCTATCGTTACACATAATAATAATATAATTAAAATTAATTAATTATAATATTATAAATCTAATTAATAATGAATTTTTATTAATAAATTGAAACGTTAGACTAGAAACTAATTGATTTTCTCTTAAGATTATGGTAAAACAACAAATCTCGTCAATAAATGCAACACGTTACTTGGATAATTAAAGTTTCCCAATCAACGTAAAGTTAATATAAAGTTGTTCGTATAAAGTTTAACGATCTACGTGCTTCGATAGATAATTACATATATTATATCGATAACGAATTGTCAATGATGTTATCTTTTTAAGTAAAATATAATTAGAAGTATATATACTACTTCTAGAGAGGTTGGTATCTCTTTTGGTGGTATTATTGCAACATATACGCTACTTAGGACTTTTCCAAACTGAAGAGTCTTACCGAGTATTAAATCGAGATGCTGCAGCAACAAGTAGCTCGTCAGTATTATACTATAGAAATATCGTTTCGTTGCACAATATTCGATGGTCGTTGATCCTTTCATTCGATACCATCCGTTATTTCTAC